TCGTTGCAGAGCGACGGTTTCGGTTTGGGGGCCATGTGCTACGAATGGCTCAAACACGCATACCAAAAGTGGCCATGCTGTGGACCCCAGGACGCGGAAAACGGAAACAAGGACGGCCAAAAATCACATGGCGCAGAACTTTTATCGAAGACCTACGTGCCGTGAACCTGTCATGGGATGAAGCCGAGGCCGTCGCGGCCGACAGAGCTCCCTGGCGATTACTTTGCGCCCAATGCGCCAGTAGGCGCCGGAGGAACTAAGTCTAAGTAAGTATGATAAAAAATTACAGACCCCTCCCATCCTGCTGTGATCAGGGAGAACATTTGAACTTCCCTCAGAAGTTTGGAACCATCTGGTGTGAACATCACATCATCTTTTTCATTTAATGTCTACTTAGTGCTGCCTTGATGGTGTAAAACTTTATTGCTTGTGCCACATTCATGGTTAATCTACAAACACTCCACTGCTGCTGTCAGCTCACCCAGATGTGTTTGTTCATTTAGGAAAACATTTTAAAACTCTCACTCAGACCCAGAGGGGGAATGGACTCATTTAAGTTCTTATAAAAACAGTAGAACAAAACAAACTGCTGTACTCAGCTGTGACTTGGCTCTTGTAAATCTCACTGCCTGATTAGATTTTTGTTTACTGGTGTGTTCCTCACTTCTAAGAATAAATCCAATCTTCTCACCGATCAGTACAAAAAATATGTGCTCCATTAAGTCTCTGCTTCCTTTATCTCTTTTAAAAACATGTCAGATAGTTGACAATATCCAGCGAGTTTCCAGGAAAGCGTGTATACAGAGGAACACGAGGTTTGCAGAAGTGCACCTGTTTGATTTTCCAGCAGAGTGTTATATTTATATTGAGCATCATTTGGGGGTTTGTTATCAGAGTGTTTGAGAAAGATGTTGAAAACATCTCATTAATTGTTGTGCCTTGAGCCCCACCAGCAGCTATGATTGGGCTCCACGCATGAATCACCGCAGGCCCGAGTTACTCTAGCTGCAGGTTTGCACATTTTGCACGATTCGCCCTTCGTTTTTACACCTCACACCTTTTACCACTTACCTAATAACTCACTCTCATTTTTTTCTTCTATTTCTTTACTACCGCAGGTCCTTTTCTCCTGCTACTTCTGGAGGTGATGAAATTTTATCTGTAATACAAACAATCAGCCTCCTTTCAGAGTGCAGAGGCTGCTGCTGCTTTCTGTCTGAGGAAACAGGCGAAGGCGAACATGGAAAAATGCAAGGTTAACTGTATTAGGCATGCTAAATGCTACTCAGATGCAACATCTTAAGCATGGCCAGCTCCAGTAGGAAGTTTCTGTAACAATTTACTCCATCTTCTTTTTTCTCCAGTATGTTGATTTATCATTTCTGTTTGAATACCTGAATTTTGAAGAGCAAGTCACCCCCTACCAGAGTATTACTCAACTCCCACTTCCTGTTTGAAAAATGCAAAAAATGCTGTTGCCTAGCAGACCGAGTGTCACGTTGAGAGCAAGGAGGTGGTTAGGACCCAAGATGCAGATTACCCCAGATGGCACGAGGCAGGAGCGGTTTTAAAGTAAATCCGTTTATTTTGGATGATGAACGAAAAAAATCCAAAAAGGGCAGGAAGCCAAAAACAAAGTCCTGAAACAGGAGAACGAAAGTTCACTTAGAGCACAAAACCTGGAGACAAGGCGTAAAACTCAACATAGAGCACAAAAACAACGCTGACACAAACACAATGGACCGACAACACACTGAGACAAGGAGAGGGCTTTATACACTGGGGCTGGAGTGATAGGAGACGAGGAGCAGGTGTGTGGGGAGCTGGCACAGGTGAAAGCAATAATGAGAGGAGAAGCAGAGGAGGACATCAGACCTGACTGGGGAAGGACACACACACACACACACACATGCACCGAGGTGGGGAAGGACACACACACACACACACATGCACCGAGCTGGGGAAGGACACACACACACACACACACACACACACACACACACACACACACACACACCGAGCTGGGGAAGGACACACACACACACACATGCACAGAGCTGGGGAAGGACACACACACACACATGCACCAAGCTTGGGAAGGACACACACACACACCAAGCTGGGGAAGGACACACACACACACACACACACACACACACACACACACACACACACACACATGCACCGAGCTGGGGAAGGACACACACACACACACACACACACACACACACACACACACACACACACACACACACACACACACACACACACACAGAGCTGGGGACAAGAAAGGCTGGAGCTACAAGGACTCAGAACGTGAAGGGGCACCTGGAGGGGCTGGGGATGACTGAAGGAACAAAGGGCCTGTGAAGGATGATCTAGAGGGTCTGAAGACCAGGGGACAAATGAGGAACACAAAGAAACACATAAGGGGAATTCTTAAAGGGGAATGGAGCACACAAGGAGACACATGAAGGAGACACAGACACAGACCAAGAACCAGACCATGACACAGAGAGGGCGGAGCCTCTAACAAATTGTGACATCATATGGTGCCAGCTAACGTCTTAGGGCCAATAGCGATGGCAGATTTTAATTCAACTGCAGTGCAGAGTTTTTACCTGACAACGGCACAACACTGACAGTTTTAGGCAGAAAATTAAAATTTTAATTAAAATGCACTAAAGTGCAAAACTGTTGACTGCATGTGTTTGCAGCACAATTAGACACACATTTATATAGTTTATCAGGGAAAAAAAGCTGATTTGGGGGCGACTTGCTCTTTGAACAGCTTGTAGGAGTATTTTTTTAATTCTGGACACATGCTTTCACCTTCTTGTGGTGCATGTCAGGAAAAACTTCTAGTATCTGGGAAGTCGTCTCAAATACCTAAAATGTTTCTATATAATAAACTATGGCTTGTTTTAGGAAGATCATTCCTAAAACAAAAGCTGACAGGAAACGAATGGACCTTGAGGCAGTAGAGACCCACTCAACAATGCAAAAAGCCAGATTTTTATAGTGTATCCCTTTTAAACTGAACAAAATTCATATTTTCTCCTGGCATGAAGAACCATGCCCAAGCCTGTGGTCAAAGACACAGCTGCCTAAAAACAATGTCTGGACATTCTGACCAAAATAGCTCCCATTTGTCTGTTGACAAAACCAAAATGCTTCCTTGAAAATAACAAAACAATGTCGACAGAGAATCAGAGCGGCAATGAAAACAGGATGACACCTGACAGCTTTGGAACAAATTAAACGAGCCTCAAAACAAAAACACATCGGTGTCATATGGAAGTGGAAACAGGATTTAGTGTGTTTGTGACCAAACAACACGCTGTGATTTAACGGTGATCACCTTATTAGGTGAACAGGTTTGTGTTCGTGGCTGAAGCGTTTCCTATTTAGCAATTACAGCTGCAGAACAGTGACAGCACAGGAACCTCAAGGGGTCCCGACGGCTAATTAATGACAGGAAGACACGATTTGGGTGTTAAAAATTTCCTGTATGGGGCCAGGTGATCCTCGTGAGTAAAATCATATTACATCATCTCCCAGAATCCTGCTGCTTTCACCATTTAAGATGTTTGCTCATCAGCATGAACAGATTCAGACAGTTAGTGATGACAAACTCTTGTTAAAAACCCCGCGGGCGGTCCAGTCGTCCCCCTTTAAAGGCCTCAGTCTGGAGGAAACCAAAAGTTGCCCTCGCCGTGATGAATGGGGATCATTAATGTTGTTCATCTGTTTACTTTAAATTCCAGTGCTGGAAAATGAGAGGTCAGCAGCAAAAGGGAATTGTTACTTTTGCTCTCACATTTCAGAGAAGCCACACTCAGAGTGGTTTTAGCTGATCGTCTTTCAAGTTTAAGAACCCGGTTGGTCTTTTTTCATCCCTGATCCCGGTAATTTCACCTATTTTTACAAACCAGGTATTTTTAAAAGACATTAAAGAACAGAAAAATATTATAAATGTGTGCTTGTGTTGTTTTTTTTTAAAGCAATGACATCCATAAAGGTTGCCTCACAATCTGACAGCAGAGAAATCCATCTCCCCTGGAGCAGTCCCATGTTATTGCTCAACCCATATTTGCTTGTCTTATCAGCACGTATTTATAGTGCAAACAGTTTGAGTGATCTTATTAAAGCCTATCAGCTGGTGCACCTTTAAAAGCACAGATGGATCAAGGAGCAGATGGCGAGACGGCGCAGAGACAGTCTTTGTCCCGAGGACTAACCGTCTGAGAAACATTTAGCTACAAATATCTTTAAAACGTATCATGAATCCCACTTAAGGCGGTATCATTACAGAGTTGTATGATGTTTCTAAAAGCAGAAGTACCAATTTCTTGCCATGCTGCAGTTATAATTAGACAGGAAGGCATGATTGAGACAGTCTGAAGAACATTCTTTTATCCAGACAAAAGCAGAAAAGCAAAGCAGTGAAAAGCTAAAATAAAATAATTGTGTTTCCCTCAAGCATTTGCTTCTTCTACCTTTCAACAATCATTCATCAACGCCAAGCTGGAGGTGCAATTTAGGAGGAGGCAACTGAGTTAGCATTCACCGATGCTCTTACAGATCTGGTGATGAGGCAGGAGGAGGAGATGTTTAGAGACACCCTTGAGAGTGTCTGCTCAACAGCAAAAAGCCTTTTCAGAGCTGCTGGAGGAATGCACAGAAGCCTGCAAGGAATCTGTTGGTTCTGCAAACACAGGAGTAAAAAAAAAGAAGCCTGAAGAGCGACTCTGTGTGTCAACAGCAGTGGAATCTGATTTCTTTGGCTCTGCAAATGTCACAAAACAGTAAAACCACAAAGGGAAATCACTTCTGCACACTAAAGCCTGCAACAAAGATAGCTGTCTGACAACTCCGTGAACTACCTTCAGTTCAGAAATCTGAGCTAGAAGCTGCAGCAGCGTGTAAAAAGCGGCATGCATTGTCACTATAAGCTGCAGCTTGGAGGGCTTTTGGTGAGGACAGAGAGAGGAAGATAGAAGGGGAGGAGATTTTAATGGCCAGCGAGTGAAAAAGGTGGTGTGGGGCAATTAGAGTCTGACTGGAGCTCAGAGCCGGACTGGGAACTCTCCGTGCAAACTTCATGCATGCTCTTTCTGATTTTTAAAGATTTTGAATTGAACTTTTTATTTCTTTTTCCCCAGTGATCAACCAGTTTTTTTTAACAGCAACTTTTTAAGTCAGGAAGAGTGAATTCTTTTACATATTCTGACATCTTGCCTGAGTTGATAATTAATATACGCTTTTTGCAGTTTGGACGTTTTCTTTTCTTCACTTGTGCCGTGCCTCAGGGGCCTTTTTCATTACTAAGCACAATCTTCATCAGGTTACAGTCGGCTGCGGAGCTACGTGACTCCTCTCACTCCCACCAAACAGGGAGCAAATGACTTGGGAATTCCCAATCAGCTTCTTTTTTTACTCTCCTGAGTGATCTGAACTACCTTTGGGAATTTTAGTCGGATTTGTTTTTCCCCTCCTGGGTTTGTTTAAAAGCCATCATTTCTCAGCACACAGAAACCACGAAATGAAAGCCAGTTATGTCATCCAGACTGCCGTCGCCATCTATCTGCTCCTCTCACCTGTGCAGGTATGCGGTTTCACGCTCACTGAAACTCAATGCAAAGTTGTTTTGTTGCTTGTTTGTTTGCATCTTGAATTTTTCCACATTTTCTTTAGTTAATTTCAAACAGTCAGTTCAGTATTGATGTGGCTGCGCTCTGGCCTCTCACAGAAGAACAGCTGAGTAATCAGAATCCAGTGATAACCATCATTTATTGTGTTTTGATACCTTCATTCCCGCTTCCGGCTCAGTTCATTCATAAGCTGAAACGTGACAAACTGCATCACTGTGCTTCTGCATCACATGATCCAAAGTGACTCACTGTTATATTTGAAGAGGCGCACCAAGCTCATAATTACAGCCGCAAGCTTCAAAGGCCACGTTTAACAGGCTCAGATTGTTCTCATCCTTCTAGTCACCCCCCCCCCCCCCCACACACACACACACACACACAGATCTGAACCCCACTGCTATCTCGTAAAGATTTGTAATGATATATGTTATCATTATCTTAACAAATCCTGCTAAAAGTGTTAGTTTATCCACACCCAAGGTTTCAGTTTTGTTCGTGTTTCTTGCAGAAAAATGGGACATTAAAACTCAAAGTTGATTATTTGTGTCGATTTCTTTAAAAGAAATTCAATTCTGACCATCTTATCTCAAGCAGCTGAGGTTCGGTACAAAGCTCCTCTGTTCTCTGCTGCCAGAGCAGGGTAAACCTGAAACTGGCACACAGATTCATTCAGTGGCATGACTCAGAAACACTTGAAAAAGGATGTTTTATTGAACGGTGGGGCTTATGCCACCTAATTCTCCATCTGCAGGATCTGATTTCTCTGGCGGTTGTCTCCCATACCTCTCGTGTTCAACACAAACTCAGACCTGAATCATTTACTGTCACTGTCACACTTCACAGACTGCTGCCGCCTGCTGAATCAAGTAGCACTCCTCTGCTTCTCTGCAAGACACTTATAGAGAAGTACTGCACGCTGACTCAGACTTGGAAAAAAAAAAGCTCTGTGTCCCGCTAGTTTCTCAAACTGGACACTTTGCAGCTGTCGCTGAGTGGAGAGTGGGTGCAGGAGGCAGGGGGATCACCGTGTTTCCTCTAATCCTCATAATCAGCTCACAGTCTGCTTGGTCAAAACATGAGTGATAAAAACAGGGGCCCCCAAAATGCAGCAGGTTAAATACCCTCTGCTGCCCAAAAGACTGATGGCAAATGTAAACATTATGAGATTCAACATCCAATCCATCAGATCACATGGAGTCTGGTTTTAACCCTGAAGGTACTCACTGGAAGAAAAATCTTTTTATATTAGGAAAAAGAACCAGACATATCCATGAAGACACTCAGACATAAACTATTTATTATCTCCTGTCTTAAATGAAAGCATCAAACTGCAAATTTAAAGTTTTTCTTCAAAAAAAAAGTCCCACTTTTAAACTATCGGGCACAGATTTATCTGTTAATGTTCCAGCTGGAGTTTCTATCAGCGTCTTATGACCAGAGCCGTAGCTTTTGTTCACTATGGAGCAGCCAAGGGAAGGAGAGGTTGGGATTACGCCAACTGTTTCATGATTTTGTTACAGCAAAGTTCATGTGTGTGTGTGTGTGTGTGTGTGTGTGTGTGTGTGTGTGTGTGTGTGTGTGTGTGTGTGTGTGTGTGTGTGTGTGTGTGTGTGTGTGTGTGTGTGTGTGTGTGTGTAAGTGACATTGTTTTGCAGAAAATGAAAGGTAGTCCACTTTAAAATTAGAATTATTGATGGATTAAAATATTAATTAGCCTTTTAAAATTGAGATTAAAAATTAATGTTTAATATGTGTCATTTGTTGCCGTTTTTGGTATACATGTTTGACATGTCATCCATGTGTGAGGTGTTTAGAGAGCATCTGTAAATTGAAACATCTGTATAAACATCTATATAAATTACCACATCTAAATGATCAGTCTATGGGGGGGATTGTGTTGAAATGATTAGAAAAATTATTGAAGTTTTCCTTTGATGATTAAGAAAACAAAGTGGATAATTAATAAAGCTTCAAGAGTTTTATGCATTAACTAAAACACACACACACACACACACACACACACACATTTGCTTATAGTTTAAAAATGTTGAAGTTACTTCAAAAATGATTAAATCCGACTATCTGATACTGCTCTATGATATAAAGTAGGAGGTAATCTTTCATAAGTAAGTTTCTGAGAGCAGGCCTGTGAAGGTGGAGGCAGATGAGTGATACCCATCACTCGGAGCCGATGTAGCTACAAGCTAACTGAGCTAACAAAGGTTAGCAGGCGCTTTCAGCCAGAAAACCACTAAACCGTTAAACACTTTTAACGTTAGGCTGTGGCAAATGCTAGAGCAAGCAGGGGGTTAGCCGCTAGTGCTAGCACTGACAGTGCATCTGACACGTCAGTCAAAAGGACACGCCCCTAATAATTAATCATTTCAAGCTTTAATTACATCTAAACAGATGATTACCAGAAACTTCACTTGCCTGAGAGTTGTCTTGACAGTAAACTTGACCTATTAAACCTAAAATGTTTTTTGTACCAGGTTGTAAATGTGTTTATTTCTAATGCGAAGTTGTCATTTTTACATGGGGATCAATGGGAGCTTGCTTCTTTCTGGAACCAGCCTCTAGTGGATGAGAGGGGAACTGCAACTTTTGTCACTTCCTTGTTTTCTTCACTTTTGGCTTGCACGTTTATGGCAATAGTCTACAAGGGGTTAAGTACAATCATGCACTTAAACTCTTAAACAAAAGCCAGTAGGCTACTTAGGCTGCAATGGTAAATTATAACATCTGATGTTCTGAGTTTGACGGGATGTAGGCAACGTCTTTAACTCCCAGATCCATAATTAACAAATACTGAGTACACCTACAATGTAATCCTGATTCCCAGCTCTTTTAATAGTGGGGATTCAGTTTTTTTTACTTGTTCTGTTGAAGGTGTCAGGGCCGAATTATTACGAACAGTAACACATCTTCTGACTGAGGATGGAAGCACCTGGGTTGCCGATATCTGAACAATGGGCCGTGTTATTTGAACACCTGCGTTGAAACCACAGTAAAAATCAGATCCTGCCGGTGTTCTGCTCTGCAAACACAAAGAGATTTTCCCCAAATAAACCTGTTGCTTCCTAAACACTTAACAGCTTTCCTTGAGTCATAGGAAGCTCTCGTGACACCGCTTCCTTCAGTTTTTCATAACCGTTTTTAAAATCATTTTTTGAATTTAAAAATCAGAAATCACTTGACTGCATTTGATTTAAGACACATTTGTTAATCAGTAAAGCCTCTTTCCGTCGCCTAACGAGAGAGAGAGAGAGAGAGAGAGAGAGAGAGAGAGAGAGAGAGAGAGAGAGAGAGAGAGAGACAGGCCCTCTTGCAGGTCTTTTTTGCGTGAGGATGTGACGTTACACAGGTGCTTCCTTGACGCCATCATCAGAGGCAAAACAATACTTGATTTTGACCATCTGTTGCACACGCATGTCTGTGTTTGCATGCAGTTTTCTTTCACACATGGTCACGTTTAGCCCGTCTGTTTGACCCCAGTCTGAATTACATCACAGCTCCGTGTGTTTTATAATTTCATGATCAAAGTTAAACCCTCACGTCTCTTACGTGCGTATTTGCACATCTCTTTGGATCAGACGCCTGTGCATGAGACCGTGCCGTGGCACCGACCTGCTGAGTTATAAGGCGGTCTGTGGTACTTCTCTCCCGCTGGAATCTTCCGGCTCAGGGGAGAGTTGTAATCAGGAAATATGGATTTCTCTTTCCTTCTGCTGAGGAAGAGGAGGAAGAGGAGTGGCGGTGCTCGGGGCAGCCGTCTACTCAGCAGCTTTAATCTCTCATCTGGATGTAATTTACTGTGGTTTACAGAACAACATTTACTGTAATAGAGACCACAATTACCACCGGTCAGCCTTATCTCAAGACCTGCGTTTTGTGTGTGTGTTTGTTCGTGTGTGTATGTTTGCGCAGTGGTTGTGTGTGTTTGTGTCCATATCTTTGGGGAGACATTGTGCCTTCATTAATGGACTTTACACTCAGGAAGTTGTGTTTATCTAAATAGAAATTTACATGGATGTTTAGCTCCGCCCTCTGTTTTTTGACCCTGTTTTAATGTTTGTTTGTCTTTAGAAAAACCGGAGAAAGCACGCTAATGTAACCGAACTCACCCTTAAAGATGAACAAATGGTTATTAAAACTCTTGAATTGATGAAATTGAGCAGCTCTGGATTATAAAAGCTTGATTCTTTTGGACCGTCTGACAGAAAGTCTCGGCACGTTCACCATATGTTTCTCAGGAGTGTGCTGGAGTTGTAAAAGCGGTGCATGATCACACGTCCTGACCTGACCACCCTGGAGACCCAGCTGGAGTCTGTCAGTCGTGTGACGGCGCTGGTGTCGTTTGAGGTTCACCTGCTTTGTGTATACTAAACAAGACCTGGGTTTTCTTTTGTAGAGGTGGAGAATTGATACCGTGACCTTTGAGCCCCACGAGAGTCCTCAGAGCTAATGCTAAGATCATGATGAATGTCAGGTTTGGATGGAAACGGCTTCTCGCCTGACAAGCAGCCTTTTATTTGTATTCACTTGTTCTGCTTTGGTGCATTTTTCTTTGTGTGGTCTTGCAGAATACACTATCTTCACCACCTTTGTGCATCTTTTAAAATGAGAGGAAACCACAAGCCTGCATCACATCACTGCACCGTTAATCCATGTTCTCAGTTTCATAATTGGAGTCAGGAGGAATGAGATGTCCCTAAATGTACCTGAAAGCCTCATCCTGTCACTGTTTTGTAATCAGGAGGAAAGGACAAAGCTGTTCATCCTAAAATTACTCTGCAGTTGATTTAGTCGTTTCTCTTGAAAAAGGCACATTTTGGCATGTTCTGCACCATTTGACCCCACCCTTTTCAGCTGGATCATTTTGAATTTCACTCCCTACGCATGCTGCTCTTCCTCTGACAGACGGAGGAAGCATTGAGGTTAAAGATGACGCTGTTCAGCTGTGTGGGACTGTGGAATAATGATGCTTGGGCTCTCTGCGGCCCAACGGCAGGAGCTGAGGGACTCGGCACACCTTCTTATCTGACCTAGGGTCCAGGAGTTTGGCGCTGACTTTTCTGATGACTTTAACAATAAATTATGTCAAATAATGTCTTCTTAAACTGCTGCTTAATCGACTCTTACCATGCAAATTCATCTAATTTCATTTGGAATTGTGAAAAAATGATGCATCTGCAAAGAGAAGTTGCATGTCACTGTATTTAAGCTGAATTTGTGGAAATTACTGCAAAAATGTTTGTTTTTATTTAAAAAATACTGTTTCAAGCCATTAATACAGGAAGTAAACAATTTGCATACAAATTAGAAAGTAAAACATGTAAATAAATTGTTTCCATGTATTTAATCCAGATTTTAATTTGATTTTATATCATTAGATGTCAGTTTTGCTTAAATAATGAAATCATATCTTCAGAACCAATAAAGTTATAAGTTCTGAGACAATAGAACAGATCTTTTAACAGTTGTTAAAGTATTTTGCAGGAAATCCACCCTCCAAGTAGATTGTTATGTTAGCATTTTATCATTTCCAAACAACAAAGGTTGCTTCATCGAGTACAAAGGTGGAGAAACCAGAAGTGACATTTTAGTGCAGCTCTTAATCACTCTTAGCAGAAAACAATAAATGAGAGTGACACGGAACAAGGTTCAGCACAAAGGGAACTCTAAAAAATGCTCATTAGGGAACAAAGTGAGGAGAAATACAACAGCGAGCTCAGAAACGGATGCTTCTGGTGGGATTTGTAAGTCAAGAGCATTCATAATTTAATGATATAAAACACTCCCCTTTCCACCAGAGCGAAACCAGCTCTAGTCACCGTTCATCAATCCGATAAAAGCAGGAGGAGAGGATGGGTACGTGAGAATCATTAAAGCAGTTTCTTCTGGGTAAATCCCTCCTCTCCTCTTCACCCCAAAGATGTTTTCTTGTGATGTTGACGCTTAACTCAGAGAGGCCAGAGCCAAAATGTTCTTGTGATGTGAAGAAGCCCCTTAAATGGGGTAAAAGTGAGCAGCTCTTGTTTTATTCCAATGCCGCTATTGAAAATAGAATAATAATCCTCCATGCAGAGAAAGTGACATTTAACAATAGCTTTAGAGTGAACTGTGCTTTTCCCATGCTGTGCTTTTAAAAGTATTCTGCAAGTGGAGCTCACGTCCCGCTGTGTTTTTGTGCAGCAGACACAGTTGAGTGAATGCAACCCTACAGAACCAGGCTGCTGCTGGAGGAACAGCTGGACGTGTTGGCCAGATGACGGGAGGCAGGGAGATCCCTCAAAAATTCCCCCGAGACAGGAAGGAACTTAATAAAAGTGACAGACTGTGTCAGATTCAGATAAATTTGAAATAAATTAAGTTAAGATTCTTTGTTACTGAATCTGAACATTCCTCTGAACGTTTCTAGGAAAGAACAACGCACTGACAGACACTATCCTCACCCTCAAACTAATTTTGGTTCTTAACAGGAGCAGGATAGATGATGAACAGATGGTGTTAAACACAAGCTTTTACAGCCATCATTTGCAATCACATAACACATTCTTCCAACCGGCAGTGTGCGTGCTCCGGCCGTTTTACACAGTAAATTTGATCAGCTTTGTGTTTCTCGTTCCAGTGAAGAAGAGGGATTGAGGAAGCAGGTTGTCTGCTGCCTGTCTGTGCATTTCTGCCGGAGGGTATTTTATCAAACCTAGATTTCCCTTCCTGAGATGGAGTCACACAGAGGTTTTGTGTTTTCCCAAGCGAATGAGAAATTCACTCTGTTTATCGTGGGATGCTGGGAAAAACTCAGGATGGAGGGGGAGACCATCAATGGGAAAATAAATATAGAGCTGAATCTTACGCTACAGGAAGCAGGTTTTTGAGCCTAAACAGAAGAATGTGAGATTTATGTCAGTAATGCTGCTTGTCAAAAAGATTTCTCCACTATGGGGGAGATAAAGAAATGTCACTGGTTTCTTTGGTGACTTGCAGTTCTAGCTGTCACCAACAGAGGGCAAAATGGGCAAATTCCCTCAAAGACCTCACAGTTTGAAAGTGAGCGTGATTTATTTCCAGTTATTAATATTATGGAAATATTTGTTTTGTTTTGCAGAACGTGCCTGTGTCAAGAACAAACAGCACAAGTGAAGGTAAGAATGTTAGATTGCTTTTATTTCTAAAAGTGCCGTTACACTAAAAAGTTGAATTGACTTCATCTTAAAATAGTCTAATGTCTCATTCAAGTTGGACGGAAGGTTGAATCAGATTTCCTTCTCAGCTGGCTGAGTGGTTGCCAGTTCTTCTCCTTTAAGAGGCATGAAGAAGGACGTAGGCCCTGTCCCAACACTCGCACATCCACACTTGCATCCTTCATGCCTGTCCAGTGGTGCGAGTGCATGAGGTGTTCCAATTCTCAAGTGTGGACCTTGGCCCCGCCTCTTTAGCATCCTCTATGCACACTTTGTCAAAGCTTGCATCTGTGCGGACTTTGGTGAAGGGTGCTACTCACAATCCATTGCTGTGTAGGAATTTTGAGAAGATGCAGAAATGGCTGCAATGCCCTTTCCAAAAATATGTATGTTAAAGTTTAATGAATGAATTGTGCAATCTCCATATGTATAGGGCCTAATTACAGTCAAATGTTTCTCTGTTGGAAAGATGTTTTACATGTCTGGAGAAAAATGTTGTTAACAAATAAAACCAGATTTTATTTTTAGACGCAAAATGCCAGTGATTTAGTTACTTTTTCTAATATCAATCAGCTTTAATATAATTTCAAGCAGGAAGTTGGCTCAAACAGCAACCTGCATCCCCATATAGGATGTTGCAGTTGATGATGCAATGCTCACTGTCCCAATTAGGCAATTGTTTGCATGTTTGTTTACTATGCACTCAATGCCTTACGTGCAATGTCTCCCAGTGCACATTGCAGAATCTGCACTGAAGCGGGGGTATTTGAACTAGGCTGTAGTCATTTTTCACAATCTGTCCCGCTTCTGTACTTCCAGGTTCCAGAGCCAATAGCAAATCATATATGAGTTCACAGGGTTTCCAAGTCTGCACTGGCAAATGCTGCTTCGTCTGCAACTGTAATTCGACATCAGCCAACAAAAATCTGCAGTGCTGTGAAAAGAATGGAAGCCAGTAAAAGGAGTGGCCCAGAAGTTATTTCTTGAACCCCTAAGAAGCTCTAATATCGGGTAAAGAAGGCTAGAGGCTAACACTGAGCTAACAATGCTTACGGTAAATTAGAAGCAAATAGTCAGCTTTAAAAATATCTCAAGCTACTTTCTTCAATTACCAACAACTCAGTATTACAGTGAAATGTATTTATTTACTAATTAACTTTCTGTGTATGACTTGTTTGTCTTGATACATGGACTGCAGTCCCCAAATTTGACCCAGGACGTAATTTTTACTTATTGCACCTTTAACTAAGTTATGTCAACTAGTGTTACTAAACCCATGGGTTTGCTTTGAAGATAGCATATAATATTGTATATTACTCTTTATATTTAAGCAACTATTGAGTGGAACCAGTTAACATAACTCGGTTAGGTAAATTCAACATTTCATTTATTATTGAGGACTTTCTTGAATTTTTTCACAGTTTAACTGGTCTGTCCCTTTAAACTTTTAGCCATGCACTGTTGAGAAACAAATGACCAAGCACAGGAATCTTGGCTTTCAATTAGCAAGTTTGACCTGATTTTGGAGGGTAGCGGGACATGCATGAACGAGAAAGAATTACACAACTGTTGACCATGTTCCCTTGCATCCCTGTAAATTAATGCTGCCAACTTAAAAAACAAATCAAACATTAAAGACTTTTTCCAGCCAAACATGCAGCGGATGAGTCTGGATAAGGAGAAGAATTACAATCAAGTGGAGGAGTGGTGAACTGTCCCTTTGCGTTGTACAAGATTACAGTTCATGGCCTCATCTCCGAGCGTCTCCTCCCAGCCTGTCCGCTTTTATAAACAGCTGTTGTAGTGTTAGGCTCCAGTTGGTGACCTCTGGAGGTCACTGCAGTCCCAGAGGTGCCTGCGGGGCAGCTCAGCTCTAGTTCCAGCAGGGCTCTGTTCATGGCCATGTTTGTTTTCTCTTCCTTCTGTGTTTGGCTATAGTCGTCCCTGTTCTTCCCCCACAGCAACTGGGACACTTTCACACATGTACTCCCACAGGAAAGTGTACTGCACATTAAACAAATGTTTTTTCTGCAAAAGCAAAACAGGATACACACTGGCATAAAGCAACTGGTTTCAGGTTTCTGTACACACCAATTAGGCTTGTCGTTATTATATTTTTAAGGTCTTGTGTTTTTCCTCTTTGTGAACGCCGTTGCATCACCAAATAAACAGAAATTTTCAAATGCATGTTGTACCATCCACGTAAATATTAATTATAGCTTCTGCTTGCATGTCCGCAGCTCCAAAGGTGCTAATCATCCTTTATTGACATTCACAGTGCTAATGTTCCAAGAGGTGTGGGGTCGCAGCTTCTGCCGAACCATTGAGAAGCTGGTTGAGGTTGTGCAGGAGTACCCGACGGAAGTGGAGCACATCTACAGCCCGTCTTGCGTGCCTCTGGTCAGGTGTGCCGGCTGCTGCGGGGATGAGAAATTAGAGTGCCATCCAACTCAGACTACAAATGTCACCATGCAGGTAGGAAAGTAGATTTATTGTCAATCGAGCAACTACTTAATATAATAATCATTTAGTGTTTGTGATGCGATGACTTCCTTTGATGAGTCTAAATAAATGTTGTTCTTCAGCTGTTGAAAATCAGACCATCAAAGCCAGGTCAAGAATATGTTGAGATGACATTTGTGGAACACCTGACATGTGAATGTAGGTAAGAAAACAACAACACCCTTTCAAGCCATAATTTCTGAAGATATTCTTTCTTTCTTAATATGAGACAATTGACATAAGTCATTGATTTTCTCCCTCCTGTCTAAATAAACAATGACCTGCATCCTCCACTAAGCAGCGGCCCTTCACAAAACACTCTTAGGCCCAAAATCTTTTTGTGCTGACACATGGGTCTCAACTGCCTCTATAAACAGATGAAAAAAATGCCAAAAATAAGACATTTCAAAAAGTCCTTGTTTGTGACATCACAAACGGGAAACAAAGAATAGAATCAACTCACACGTGCAAGAGAGAGCTGCTGCTGGTTAAGGAGCAATTGCTGAGCCCTTCCCAGATATCAGAGCTTCTCAGCTTATAGCAGTCTGGGTGGCAGATGGGTGGGCGTGGCCAGCTCCAGTTTGTTTTCCTGAAAAGCAATATCACTGAGAAACTGCTTTTTATTTGTTATTTTTGAAGTACCATCAGTCAATCTGAGTTTCACAAGCAGGATGAACATGAAAATTGTTTTCCGCCCCTATTTCCTGCATTATGGCCGCTGATAGAAAAAAGGCAGGGACACACTCTGGTCAGAAAAATGGGCTCGACACACGGGAGGCGACAAACGACCACAATCAGCGAAATTCGTTGCTGTCGCTTTTATTACCTGACACACGGGAGGTGACCCGCGGTAGCGGCCAGCGGCAAAACCGTCTACGCATTCTGTTCCATGGCGAAATTGAAACTTCCGTTGTTTTGTTTGGTTGTGTCAGGTTGGAGGGAATTAAGGTTATTTAAGCGGTTCAGAGTTAATAAAGCGGCAGATATGATGTTTCACAAGGTGCTGCTAGAGTTATGTGAAATCTTACTTCTGATTTTACCATATAAAGCATAATAATAATCAACTTCTCCTCCATGTTTGCTCGGAGATGTACGGAGCATCCTGTCCGCTCATTGGTCAGTGAATGAAACCTCCGTTGATTGGTCCACATCCGAGCGACAGCGATGAAAAGTTGAAAATGTTTCAACTTTCTGGGATCGTGTCGCTGGGTCGTCCGTGCACGACATGTGCACGAGCGCAAAATTTCACACGCACGTTTTTCGCGTTTCTCTTAGTAGGAGAGAGACCCGCGATTATCGCTTTGTCGCGCAAGTCTCATTGAAAATGAATGGAGGAGAGGCGATGTCGCCTCCTGTGTGTCGAGCCCAAAAGCCACACAGATCTATGTCACACTGTAAATTAGCATTCATGGACTCACCCATCTTGGTTCATGACATGGAAGGCTGTTGTTGAGTTAGTGTCCAGAAGAAAGCAGAGCACATCTAAGCTAGTAGAAGCTAACTGTTAGCATTAGCAACTCCACAACATGGCAGAACTCTTTCAGGTTACAGTTTCTTGTAGAGATAAAACATCAATGTTGCTAAGGAAACAGAGTCAGTTGTAGAGTTGTGTTGCTGTTAGCCAATCAGAGACAAGATGTCCAAATATCAAGAAATAATAATGAGTTGGGCAAATCTTGCCGTTTTCTGCTTCCCAATCCTCTGACTGACTTCTAATTCCTGAAACAGGGAGCTTTTTTCCACAGAGATTGACTCAATTTAATTTATACCACTTGCCTGTGTTGGTGGTGGTCAGAGGTGCTGTTGGCGCAAACTGGAAGCCTTGCCTCTGTCAGTGGCTACATCGGAGCTAATCATCACTAGCAGTGTGTGAATGTGTGAGTCCATGAATAATGGAAAGCGCTTTAAGTGTCTAGAAAAGTGCTATATAAATATAATCCATTATTTGAGAACACTGAAAATGTGTTGAAAAAATGAGTGAACTTGGTTTTTAAAATAACAGAATCCTGCAACGGCTCATTCTGGAGGGTACTGAAAACGTCAAGAACAAAACTACCGAAATGTCTTTATGTGGAAGGGTTTTTTTGCCCAGACCTTTATGAACATGTTTTAAATCAACCATAGAGCTATTTTAACATAAGAAAATAAGTCACACTATGTCTACTTTAAAGTATAAAGGCAGATTTTAATGTTAAGTTGATGAACCTGCATAAATAATTCACTTTATTTAAACTCTCTCCACAGAGTCAGGAAACCTTTAGTGAAAGTTGAAAGGTAAGTAACTCATACTCGTTTATAAAATTCTGCTCATCTTCAGTGAATGAGGGCTTGTGGGTAATTGTGTTTAATGTGCAGGAAAAGGCAAAGAGGAAAAGGAAGGAAGAGAAAACAGAGACAAAAAACAAAAGACTGTGACAGGTAAAATGACTTCACTTGAGTAAGAAAAAATGCATTTAATATCATTGAATATTAATATTTTGTTTTATTTACTTGTGTGCTGCAGGTGTCAAATCCCTCGCAGGTAACTTTAGCAGCAACTTAGTGTTGCAGTATGGCCGACCATTTCCAGCCCAGCATAAAGAGTCTCTTCCACTTATTTATCAGGACTGTGTTTGCGACCAGAAACTCAAACAGCTGGGTTGATATGCCGACAAGCTGTCCTGCAGATGGACAGGATATTTGTGATGACAAGGTTCAAGAGGATCAAGCTTTGACTGATGGAAACACTCTCTGTTAAACGCCTAACGCAAGGGACAGCCCTGGGAGCCAATGCAATGTAGAAAGGGAACAGATTGATGTTTTCATTTATACTGTCAGTTATTTTTCATGTGTTTACTTCTAATGGTGTTTAAAGGAGGTTACACTTGTTGAAATTCTGTATTTATTGTTAGAGCAGTAAACTTTAAAATATATATATATTACTGAAACATCATTTAGAACACCCCCCACTTGTTCTGTTTATGTTGGACTGAATGCACAGCGATGGTGAAATGTCTCCCTCTGGTGTTAAAAGATGAACATGGTCAACAAAGAAATGTGATTTATTTTTTTTAGGAGACATGATTAAAAAATACACTGCTCACAAAAATTAAAGGAACACTTTAAAGAAACACATTAGATACATCAGATCTCAATATGAAGTTGGATATCCATACAAATAACGACAGGGCAATTTCTTAGGAACAAAAGGATGCCAAGTCTTTTAATGGAAATAAAAGTTATCAGCCTACAGTGGGCTCAATTGTGTAAACACCCTAAAATTGGAGTGCAATGAAGATGTGGCAGGCTAGTCCATTATTTCAAAAACTTAATTTCTGCAACTCAAATTGCTTTTCAGTATCTGTGTGGCCCCCACGAGCTCGTGTGCATGCTTGACAATGTCGGGGCATGCTCCTAATGAGACAACAGATGTTGTCTTGTGGCATTTCCTCCCAGATCTGTGTGAGGGCATCCCGGAGCTCTTGTACAGTCTGAGGAGCAACCTGGCGCCGCCTAATGGACCGAAACATAATGTCCCACAGATGTTCTATTGGGTTTAAGTCAGGGGATCGTGAAGGCCATTCAATTGTTTCAATTCCTTCATCCTCCAGGTACTGCCTGCATACTCTTGCCACATGAGGCCGGGCATTGTGGTGCATTAGGAGAAAACCAGGACCTACTGCATCAGCGTAGGGTCTGACAAAGGGTTCAAGGATTTCATCTCGATACCTTATGGCACTCAAAGCACCATTTAGTAGAGGTCTGTGCGTCCCTCCATGGATATGCCTCCCCAGACCATCACTGACCCACCATGTCATGTTGAACAACGTTGCAGGCAGCATAACGTTCTCCTTGTCTTCTCCAGACTCTTTCACGTCTATCACAGGTGCTCAGGGTGAACCTGCTCTCGTCTGTAAAAAGTACAGGGCGCCAGTGGCGGACTTGCCAATTCTGGTGTTCTTGAGAAAATGCCAGTCGAGCTCTACGGTGCTGAGCAGTGAGCACAGGGCCCACTACAAGACGTCGGGCCCTCAGGCCATCTTCATGAAGTCTGTTCCTGATTGTTTGGGTAGAGACATTCACTCCAGTGGCCCTCTGGAGGTCATTCTGCAGGGCACGAGCGGTGCTCAGCCTGTGCCGCCTTGCACAAAGGAGCAGGTATCGGTCCTGTTGATGGGTTGTGGACCTTCTACGGCCCTGTCCAGCTCTCCGAGAATAACCACCAGTCTCCTCCATGTTCTGGAGATTGTGCTGGGAGACACATTAAACCTTCTTGCTGCAGCACGTGTGGATGTGCCATCCTGGAGAAGTTGGACAACCTGTGCAACTTCTGTAGGGTAAAGGAATCGCCTCATACTGCCAGTAGAGAGCCAAAACTAGCACGAGTGGAAAGCCAGAGGAAAAAGATCTTGAGGGAGAAACTTGAAATGACCTCTACATGTTAAACCAGTCCTGTTTTGAGGGTTTTGTAATTGTTGCCACTTTAGTGCACCTGTTGTAAAGTCCATGAACACCAATACAGCTGAAAGTGAGTAACAATGCCCTCAGCTGCTTAAATCAACCAGGAAATTATCAGACTGGTTTCATTGATTTCATGCCAGGCCCAATAAAAAAAGTGTTCCTTTAATTCTTGTGAGGAGTGTAGGATTAGATTTAAGGCAGTGTATAAGATTTACTATAAAAACAGCAACAAAAAAAATGCAGACAAATATATGAAATCACCGGCTTTCCCTCTGCATCTGGGAGGAGCTCTCTAGTAAACATTTAAATTAGAAATCAGAGCATGCAACATGTATAACTCCAGCAAGCTTTAGTCAAGCAAAAATGATGCCTTGTGATTAGAAAGTTTAAAGATACATATAAGTCTTCTCTGTGTAGTTACACAGAACTCGCACAATCCCACTCCGCAGGTGACTTCATCTGTCTATTCTTGGAACCACTCCACCATGGCAAGAAGGATTGAGTTTAATATGACAAAAGATGTGCTTTATGTATTTTTTCATGTATAAAACAAAAGGAACTCTATGAAAATGTAAAAGTTACTTTGTGACTGTGTTAATGCTTTTATTTCATTTAAATATTTATTTTGTGATAAAATTCTCATGACTGTTAGATTATTAGGCTCATGTGATTATTTTATTACAAATCTTCTGCAAATAATAGATATTATATTATATTATATTATATATTATATTATATTATATTATATTTTATTATATTTTATTATATTGTAGTATATAAATGTTATATTTAGTGTAGCATTTTTATATGTCAGATTCTGAGGTATCCAAATCTCTCATTTTTTCTTACTTATTTATTCCACATTTTAAAAAGTTTACTAAGAAATACTTTAGTGGCTACAAAAGTAAATAGATAAGCTGTCTAGTTTCAAATGGGTTTCTTAGCTCTGCATTCGTTTTCTTTTCTTTTTTTTTATCAGCTTATTAAAAACCAGCATGACAAGTCTGTAGAGGCCGCACACATCGCTAAAACAAGCGCCTCTCGATCACCGACCGTCATTCTAGAATCAAAAGAACTGAGTTGACCCGTTTCCTTGACAACCGCAGGACCCGTCACGTTTGCTTGGGTTACTCTTAATAATGTATAGCCCTCCTTTTGGTCTTACAGGCTTGCTCGCTCTATGGTTCTTCATTAAACCACTTTAATGTCAATCAAAGTGTTAAATATTGTTGCTTCTCTGAGGAGTATGAACACTCTTGTAGCACTTCGTTAGTTTTCTAACACAATTCACGTCCAAGCTTTAACTTTCCTGTAAAACACAGTACTGGTCATAGCGGTTCTCGAGCTACGAATCAGAAGAAACAAGGCGTAGCTAATGTTAGCTGCGCCAGACTCAAGGAGCCGTTGACTTACGACAAACGTGGAAGCTAATATTGGATATTCAAGCAAACGATATATTGGTAAGAGTTCCAAAACGATTTTATTCTCCATTTAGCTTGTTATGAATCTCGTAAATGATACGGTAGTGTAAACATAGATCATTTAGCATCACAAAGCTAACTGTGCTAAGAGCGAAGATGGTAAACGAGACACCGTCTTCGTGAATTCAAATGTCAGAACATGTCTCATGCAAACATGTTGTTTCTGCATTGGTTAAGTTGCCGATTATGCTAAATATTATCAAGTTAACGGAAAAATACGGCAAACCGCTCTGCACATCTGAAACAACATGCTACTTGTACGCTAGCTTAATTTTATCAATGTTTGCGTTGAATTGTTAGCATACTTATTTATACATTTGTGTTATAAACACTCTATGAATATTCTACAACCAAACTAGCTTTTAAATTAAGATAGACCCAAGAATCCCCAGCTGACAACTAATCAGGGCAACGTTTGTAGCTTGTTTTTGTTAAATTACATTTAAATTACCTATGTAAGTTAAATGCAATTTAAATGTTGGGGTTTTGTTTGAAAAATGAGCTGAGCCGATAAACGAAAATGAAATGCATTTATTACATTTATGTGTGATAAAAGCAGACCCAGTAAACAACAGAAGCTGTGTTATCAGCCCGCAGAAGCACTTTCTGTATGCTAAAATACATACCTGTTTCTTTGCCCGAGTTAACCAAACTAGTTAACTCTATGAAGACCTCTGCATGCCCCCTCGACATCTTACCCTCATCTTTGTTTAAAAGTGCTTTTCAGTCCGTCGGTCCCAGCGTGCTCTCTATAATTAATGCTTCTTTTGTTTCTGGTCAGGACCCTGCTTACTTTAAGAACGCTGTAATCCACCCGCATCTTAAAAAACCGAGTCTTGACGCCTCTCTCCATAGCAGCTTCAGACCCATCTCTAAACTTCCGTTCATCTCCAAGATCTTGGAAAAGGTTGTGGCTAAACAACTCACAGCTGCTCTTGATGAACATAACATCTATGATTGCTTCCAGTCAGGTTTTCGTAGAGCTCATTCTACTGAAACAGCTCTTCTTAGGGTCTCTAATGACCTTCTGACTCACAGTGATGCAGGGGACTGTTCTGTTCTGGTCCTGCTGGACCTGACTGCAGCCTTTGACATTGTTGACCATCACCTGCTACTGGAGAGGCTGAGAGTCTGGGAAGGCCTATCAGGAACTGCTCTGGTGTGGTTCTCCTCTTTCTGAGCGCTCCTTTTCTGTGGCCGTCTCCAATTTTAGGTCCTCCACCACTTCCCTTACCCATGGTGTCCCACAAGGTTCTGTGCTGGGGCCTCTGCACTTCCTTCTCTATCTGCTTCCTCTTCAGCACATCCTGAGCTCCTTCAAAGGAATCTCCTACTATCTTTATGCAGATGACATCCAACTGTACATCTCCTTTAAGCCCCGTGAGATGTCTAAGCTGCAGCTGTTACACACCTGCTTTGCCTCTATCAAAACCTGGTTGGCTGGGAGCTTTCTACAGCTGAATGAAGATAAGACTGAGATCCTCATCTGTGCCCCAGACAAGCTGGTTCCCAAAGTCAGAGACTCTCTTGGTCAGCTTGCTTCTCACACCAAACCTTCCGTCAGGAATCTTAGCGTGACCTTTGACCCAGCTCTCACCCTGGATTCTCATGTCAGTTCTCTTGTTCGCTCTTCCTTCTTCCATCTCAGGAACATTGCTAAGCTGAGTCCCATTCTGTCTTGCTCTGAACTTGAGACTGCTATCCACACCTTCATCTCCTCACGCTTAGACTACTGTAACTCTCTTTTCACATGTCTGAGCAGAGCCTCCCTGAACCGTCTACAGGTGGTTCAGAATGCCTGTGCTCGGCTTCTGACCAAGTCCTCCAAACACACCCACATCACCCCGCTTCTCCTCCAGCTTCATTGGCTGCCAGTCAACTTCAGGGTTCATTTCAAGATCCTGGTTCTGGTCTATAGGGCCTTACATGGACAAGCACCATCTTACATTGGTGATCTTCTTAGTCCCTACACCCCCAGCAGGTCCCTGAGGTCCAGTGATCAAAGCCTACTGGTTGTGCAGCGCACCAGGCTAAAGACCAAAGGTGACAGATCATCTGCTGCTGTGGCCCCCAGACTCTGGAACTCTCTCCCCCTGAGCCTGAGATCAGTGGACTCAGTGGTCTCCTTTAAAAAGCAGCTGAAGACTCACTTGTTCAAGCTGGCTTTTGTATGACCTTCTTCATCCCCTCTCTCTTTATTCTGCTCTCCCCACCTATTCCACCTTCCTCAGGATCCACTGATTTCCCTCTTTCCTATTCACTCTCTCTCTTTCTTAACATTTTTAAAATCACAGTTGTCTATTTTGTGCTCATTTTAAATATATTTTTAACCATTTTCTAAATTCTTTTTTATATTTTTACATTTTTTTTGTTTTTGTGAAGCGCCTCGTGATTTTTGTCTTGAGAGGCGCTATAGAACTGATATTTTCTTCTTCTTCTTCTCAAACCTATTTACAAATTGCACTACCATCCATCAGAAATCTGTACACTAATCTGGGAAATAGCACTGGCCTACTGATCCATCAATACTAAGTTACAGATGCAAGATTTATGTAAGCAAAGACAAAATAAGAACTATACTTAACATATTCTCCAAGGTCAAAACAGGTAGATTGTCACAACACCAACAAAACACTGATATTATAATAATAGTCAACACCTAATATGCTTATGTTGTAGTTTTACAATGGATTTCTCACAGCATGTGACATCTAAATAAAAGGTCATTAGAGTACTGCACCTCATTCACAAATTCAGACAACCTGATTGGTGTTTCTTTTGTTTATCTGTTCAGCAGATATCAACATGAGTGGTTTCAGTAAACCAGGGGCACACAGGGTGCCACAGTTCACCAGAGCATCGCTCCTGGGAATATCCAAACATGACCTGGAGAGAGATTCTGGCTTTTCAGGTTTGATACGTTTACATAGCTTGAAAGTTTGTGTTTTTAATCAGTGGTTTTGTTCATATACCAGCTGTGTGCAATTTTAAAAAGCATTACTTGTTTTTAAAAAAAGCATATTTTTTAAAGTGAACTTGCATTTCCTCTGTTTGAAAGATAGATGAGCCTGTGCAGCATAATTCAAATTATGCTGAACAGTATTGGGTTACTTGCTGCTGTGCTGTGCCATCTGTTCTGTATTCTTTGCCGGTGTGCTGTTGGTGTCAGCAGTTCACGGCTGTGAATTAGACAAACAACTAAATCTTGATGGTTTCTTAAATATCTTTGTGTAAAATAAATCACATGCTAAGAAGCTGACCTAGGGCTGCTCGATTATGGCAAAAATAATAATCACGATTATGGTGACTGAAATTGAGATCTCGATTATTTAAGACAATTTTTCAATTAATGTTGATTTTATTTGTTTTTATTCTGTCATGAAATTGCTCAGGGCACAATCAGGACAAAAATAAATAAGAAACAAGATGATCACTAAAATAACTCCTGATTCCCAGTATAAAAAGACCAATATACTTTTAACTCATAGTTTATGACCCAAGGGTTATAGACCTTGGTTTAACTCATTTAAGTCTAACCAGTACAGACCCAAATACCAATATCTTGCTAATATTGACAGCAAGAATTATACAGTGGCATTTATAACAAATTAATGCAAATAAATTGATGTTCACACAATTTTGCATAATATGTATTTAGTCATGTCAAGGTGCTGTAGGAGAGTGCACTAGCACCATGTCCTCAGAGAGGTTAGTTATTATTTATCAGCGTGAGGAACTTATTTCTATCTATTTCTACCTTATTTATAAACTATTTATTTACAGGTCCATCAGTTAATGTAATAATTGTCCCAACCACAGCTGCACCCCCACCCCACCCTCCAACACGGTTTCACAGCAATCGGGGCAAGCTGCACGTGTGTTTAGCGCACCGCACGCGCACATTTAGCTGTTTTTATCGGCTCAGGAGCCCGCAGGTACGGTGTGTGTCACTCACTCTGGTTAATGCAACAAGAAGCCGGCTCTGAGAGCCGTTTCTGTAGCGACTGACACATCACTACATCATTCCCTTTCCTAATGTCCTGAAGAACGGTCCGGAGCGCAGGCGGAGTGTTTAGCTAACCTGCAGGAAATGTCAACGACAGTTATCCAGGAAGTAGCTAAGGGTTACCAGAGATGTTTCTGAGGTGTTCGCCAGGTACTTTTAGGATTTAAAAAGTCAAGAAGGGGGTCTGAAAAGCTGTTAGAAATAGCGTCAAAGTCGATAAGTTGGCAACACTGTGGGAGGAGCAGGAGCGCTTCATTTGCAACTCAGGGCAGCGCAAGTGGGAGGAGCAAATAATCGGCTTGTTTTGTTTTATAATTGTTCAAAACTCAGATCGTAATTGGGATTAAAATTCGATTAATTGAGCAGCCCTAAGCTGACCCCTACTCTTCAGAAACGCGACTTTAGTGGAGCTTTTTGCTGTAATAATGTCTGACATGCTCTGTCAAATGCATTAAGATGCTTTGACAATTTTAATTTAAAAAAATAATAAAAACAAGAACTTATGTTGGCTAACTTTTGAGAGTTGCTTTGCAAACAAGTGCTTTTTATTTATAAATTTTAGATTTCATTAAATTTTTTAAGGGAAATGTTAAATTGACTACATTTGGAGCACAGATAATGTGTTTAAAAACTGTAAGTAGTTATTTTACTGCAGCTGGTGGACTTAATAATCATTTAAAAAAAATGTGGATGTCAACCCTTTGCATTGTTTACTGTATGTTTAATTGTGATGCTAGGGATCATAGCACGGTTCTTGTCTATGACCTGGATGTGTATAATTAGCTGTTACATTATTAGAAATAGCGTTCGACCGTGAAAAACTCCCCCCTATATGTGGATTGAGATGACCTTTATTGATATGATGAAGACTGACCTGGATTTGATCCCCCCCCCCCCCCCCTCATTAGGTTGATGGCATCCTTTTTCCGATACTTCAGAGATATGTATCTACACCTGCCATTGTTTATGGTTTAATGCCTTGCAAACAACCAAAAGGTAAATCTGTTTTGTTGATGCTCGATGAGACCCATATGCCGATGTTCTCATCATCAGATGCCAGCTCGGAGTACCTCAGTGCAGTGGAGGTGACGGACTCTGAGGATACAGGAAGGAATGGGTCAATAATCGGGCAGGAGCCAGCTGGTCAGCAGGTGGCTGTGGTGGGAGGTTCGTACACCGGAGTGTCGCCAATGATCATCATGAACAACATTGTCTTGAAGCAGGTAAAACATGGTTCATTACCCCAGTTACCTTTATAGACTAACATCTGATTGTTGACCAGAGATGAGGTTAATTATGCAAAAGGTTCATGTAGTGAATAAAACAAAACCGCAATCAAGTCATGAAGAAATAATTTAATTTATGTTTTCATATCCTGACTTATGTATGTATTTTTATCATAAGCATATGTGGCATTGGCCTAACAGGAGTTTTTATTTGATACATTTTAGGGCCAATTAATAAATGACTGCAAATAAGAAACGAAAATGTGGCACAATTAAAATATATTCAGCCCTATAACAGTGTTCTAACATTTAACGAATTACTCCTGATTTTTGTGTCTTTGGGTTGTCGTTTCACCCCTCACCACCGTGCTGAAACCTAAGCATGGTAGCATCACGGAAGAGCGACTCGCATTAGCGGATTTATTTTTCCTAATCTACCCTGTATCATGAACCAAAGAGTAAACCTAGCAGATGCAGGCCTGAATAATGTTTGGATTCTTGGGGGGGGGGGGGGGGGGGGGAGGCCCTGGTTTAGTGAAGTTCTGTGTTTTTGTTTTAAAAGATCCTTTTGAGTGTTAAAGGGGACACCGTATTATGCAAAACTCAACTTTTGCATCCTTTTTCCCCTAGCCATCCTCCATGGCTCCACAAGAAAAGCAGTGGGGCTTCCCTCCACCCATGGACTTGATGCCCCAGTCACAAGTTGTTCTCCTCCAGCCAATGGTCTCAAATAGCAACAGCAGCTCTGCAAAGACCGGTTCTGATAATACGCGCCAATCCAAAGGCTACATGCCCATCCTGAAGTCCTATCCCAGAATCGCCCCATACCCAGTAGATACACCCTCTAAGAGGGCAGGGTCTTCAAGGGCGAGGGCGACTGAAACAGAACATGACCAGCGACAGAAGAGACACCATCACCGGCTCAGCAAGGCCCCTAGCCTGCTGCCAGCACTGCACACACAAGCTGAAACTATCTCCAACTTTGATACCAATGACTTTCAGGCAATTGAGAGTCAGGAGCAGCTCACCGACAAATCTCTGACCCAAGCAGAAAGCAGCTCTCTGCCCGACTACGCCGACGATTTCAGGACTGTAGCAGTAAGCGACGAGATGCCCGACGGCAAATACGAGGACCCCATCTCCATCCACTGTACCAAACTGAAACGCTTCAGCAACACCTACAATATTCTCAGCAAGTCTGGCTTGCTGGGGATCACGATGCGCACAAAGCAGCTGATAAAGGAGAACAAGCGCACGCAGGGCCAGCTGCAGCAGCTGCAGGAGCAGACGGCTCTGCTGCTGGAGGCTCTGAGCAGCGGGGACCCACAGCTCTGGACTAAACTCCAGCTCTCTCTGCAGGACACAGAGAAGGAACGTCTGGGGGCGAAAGCTCAGAGAGTTGAAGCATAATGTGCTCGTGGATGACCAGCAGTTCTGTAGGAGGATTATACTTTAGATACTTTACTGAATGTAGGAAAAAATTAGAACAATAATTGGAAAATTCAGCTCAACTGACTTATTTTCTTAAGGGTTGTAGATAAATATCATGATGCATATTGCATACTAGAAAACAGCGCAGTCTGCAAAAATGAATATTACAATAAAACATATTTTTCTGCTACTTTATTTTCTCCTCTGTCATCACAATACTCCTGGCACTCTACATTAGTTTTAGCAACTCCGCAGCTAGCATCTAAATCAAATCGGCTTCTCTGAGCCGTCTGATTGGCCAGATGTATCCCAGGCATAGAGAGCTGCTGTTTGTTGCAGTCCAAGCAATCCAGAGATAATAATGCACACGCTGCTTATGTTAAATCACTTTATATTGAAAACCCCTAAAACGTGTAGAACTGCTGGTTTGACACACATCTGAAGCACAGCCACTGATCTGAAGTGAAAGTTTGGAAGCATGCTCATATTTCAAACCTTTGCCTATAAATGAATTGAATGCCTCTGCAGTTGCTAAAGGGCAGGTTCCACTCTGGCCTGTAGACGTCGTCGCATGACTTACATGAAATAAAAAAAGAACGATTGTGCATCTTTACCACACAGGTCAGCATCTTTCTGTTTCTGTATGGTTTATGTTGTTGGGTTGGTGGAACTGCACGAGCAGACGCCCTCTGCAGTAGAATGTTTGTTTACAGTAATAACAGTAATGTAATAACAGAGTTATTACAGGATGCTGTAATCTAGAGACAACATATCAAAGGCTGAAAGCAGCAATAAATGTCAATGGGCAGATTACAAGAGATACTAGAACATCAACTATTCCTACATTAATCTGGATTTAGTACAATGCAGACAGGCCACAGCTGTCCTGGATCTCTTGTATTTTATTGTTGTTTATGTTTTTGTTCAATTTTCTTCTTATAATTTATGGAAACTTTTTCCTTCAAAGAATTTTACAACTTCAAACTGAAATATGTTGTCCATCCCGATTATAATCATTTATTCTTTAAAAGTTAAATTAAGGAAAAATTAAATCTTTTCAGTTAATAATCAGGAGTCAATTTTAAATGAATAAGATATATTTATTGTAAGTCATTTCTTTTCACAATACTTTTATTCTGTAGTATGTGTATTATTTATTTGTTATCATTTTTATGACCACGACTAAAAGGATGTGAATAATGTTAAAATCGGATCATTTTGAGGGAAATGTAGCAGTGAAGAGCTGGAGCCATCTAGCTGGTCTGCCTTTGGATTGGTTATCATTCCTGTTGTGTTTTAACCCTGGTTTAAAGATTTGGTCAAAGAAAAAGGGATATTTTGTTGTTTAGTTTGACATTTCAGACATTTGCACTTTTGCGTCTCTGTAAAAACCATGAACATGATCTTCAATGGATTTCTGTGCCTTTTGTTCATGTATATAAATCTGCTTTATCATCATTTCTTTATAAATGTGGGGGAAAGTTGAAAAACTGAATTATTTCCCAAAATTAATTTACATTGTTTTAAAATCACAGGAGAAATCACCCCTATGAGAAAATCATTATAAAGTTAAAAATGTTAGGCCTTGAATATTTTTTTATTATTTTGTATTTATATTAGCAGAATAACACCATCAGTAAAAAGCAACGAGTTGTAAAATCTGGAAGAAAAATGTGGATAAACTGTTCTGTTTGTCTGTTTTTGTGAAATGTGATTTGTTTCTTTTTGTTCTTTTCGAAGTCTTTCGCCGCTTAAACTCCTTTCCTCTTTTTTTCTAATAAGAATGAGTCGTTATTAAAGACAAAAATCAACTAATTTGTGTTTTTAAAATCTGTTTATTCTTCTACATAAATTATCTCCAAAACTTGTAAACACCTTAGAACACTTTAAATGCCAGCAGCTCCAGCCGCAGCAGAAAAGTGAAAACGTTAATAACGCTGCATGTCCTATCATTAGCAGAATACATATGAGCTTGACCTTATGGCACATAGTGAATAACACCCTGGGCAATATCATTCACATTTTCTATAACATAGTATTTTATATATGAAGGAGCTCATTGCTGCTTTCTCAGCTCAGCTTAACCGTTTCTCATCGTAGCCCTTAATAAAGTTCCCTGGATAACACGTTGTTGAATCTTTATAAAAGAAATGAATCGTAACATGATAGAAAGCTTCAAAGGCATGCAAAGCCATTTATCAATGCTTCGAGAACAGATATGGAGAAACTTGAAATATTAGAATATGGTGCAAAAGTTCATTTATGTCAGTAAGTCAATTAAAAAGTGAAACTAATCAGAAAGACTAATTACAGGCAAAGACAATTATTTGAAGTCTTTACTTGTTTTAATTGTGATGATTATGGCTTACAGACTCCCAAAATCTCTGTCAATTAGAATATTGTCGGTATTCTAAACTCAAAGTGTCACACTCTAATCAGCTGGTTAATCCAAAACAACTGCAAAGGGTTCCTGAGCCTTTAGATGGTCTCTCAGTCTAAGATGAATTACTGAAATAAATGGATTTTTGCACCATATTCTCATTTTCAAGTTTCAGCGGCAGTTTTTCCTGACTTGTTAACTTGTATAGGCTTAGTTTGTAAATAATCTTACCTTTTTAAAAGCGACTCTATGAATATAGTCGTGTGCACTTACTTTGTCGCTTATGTGACTCATGTCGTCAATAAAACTGTGCTCTCAGCTAGTTTTACTTGAAAAAGCATCACAAAGCATCTATGTTGACATTTTATCACCTAAAAAACAGCATTTTCTACAAGATATGTTGCTGTTTGACCCTATAGTCTAAATTCACTGCTGTCCATCAGTCTTGTTTTTGTCCATCTGTGTCTTCAGAGGACGTTTCCACTGTCTGCACGGGCAAAATAAGGCCAATCATCCAGCGGTTGCCAAAAACATCCTTCAGGTTGGCTCTCCACGGGGTGCGGTTTTCCAAAAGATCCCCTCTTTGGAGCTGACACCAGGTTTGTCCTCGAGCCACCAGCAGCACCTGCTGGCAGCAGAAACCGGTACTCACCAAGCCAATGCCCAGCCACACGTACAGCATCAGCACCAGGAACAGCTGCAGGCCTGAGATGGATCCTGTGTGTGTGAGGGAGAGAGTGGAGGAATGAATGCCAAAACAAAGGAAATCATCATCTTTCTGATTTGGTGAACTCACCCATGAAGAAGTAACCAGTAGAGAGAGGGAGAAGAGTTAGAAAGGTCAGCGGGTTCTCAAAGGAGATGGAGTACTCCACAGTGAGAAAAGCAACACCCAGAACCAAGGAGTACAGGCATGTGCATGATGTGTAGATGCAGAACATGATGAAGTAGCGCATGTTCTTGTTGCCGATGCAGTTTCCTGTGAAAAAACAGTGGTGGTCTCTCTTGAGAATCACTTTCTTGCACAGTTTACAAAAGTGGCGGCCGTTCAGGAGGTAGTGAGCGTCCACGTTATCAGAGCAGTGTGGGGAGCACGGAACCACGGTCTCATTGGCACTTTCTGCTGGATATTTAATAGTCATTACGTAATTCCCCAAAGCGTTGAACATCAGGAACAGGAAGGCAGCGGTGTGGAGGGCTGTGGAGCTCCTCAGGGAGAGATCTGGGTTGGGGAAGATTGTTGGGATGAAGAGGTAGAAGTATAGAATAAAGGTGGCCACGGTGGCTGTGAAGAAGTAAGCAGGCGCCACAGCGTTGAGCAGCCTCAGCTTGAACATTCTGCTGAACATTTCTGTGAGAATAAAAAACACAAATTAGGCAGGAAATTATATTTTAACATATGATTTTAAATATGATCACAGACCTTTTAAAAGTGTTTTATTTGTTGCTGGTTTGAATTATTGACTTCACCCGCATTTTATTTTATTTTATTTATTTTTGCTACCAGAAAACTGAATTTATGCTTTAATTAGACAGAGAGAAAAACAGAGGAGACAAATCAGCTGATGAGAACTCATTTCTGTGCAAATTGGGGTCAAGGGACTCTCAGGAGCCATTCCAAGAATATCCCATCCTTGTTTCAGAGATCTGCTAACCTGAAGCAAACGAGGATGTTTAAAAACACAATTTACATCTAAAACTTCGCATCTAAACCTACATCGTAACCCGTCAATCTAAAACGCAGGGAATCCCCGCAATTAACAGCATTTCAATTCCGATGATGACAAACGCCTCCTTTGTGTTTTCTGATTATTTGGAGAATAAATCTAAATATTTGGTAAAGTCGGTGGTTTTATTCCCGTTAGGTTTTCTCCAGGGTGACACATCTGCCTACCTTCAGATGTCTGAGAGCAGAGGAGCTGTCCTTTCAGCACCACGGAGCCCTGCAGCCTCTCAAGATGATGTCTTTATTGAGAGGCGTTCACGGGAAACGTCACCAGGGCTGTGTCATTTATCTACCGCCCCCTGCTGGTCTGGATGCGTCATAATCTCATGTTTCCCTTCAGATTTCAATAATCTAATAATTTTGTATCTTTTCACTGAAAAAATAAATCCTGAAGGTTTGATGCTACAATTGCAGAAAATAAATTATCTTAATACAAATGTACTCTTTTATTTTCCTTCTTATAAACTGAAAAAAACATTTCCAGAAATATATTTTTAATAATTCTCAGTTATTTCTCCTACTGTGGTGGGATTTTTTTTTTCAATCTACAGTAAATTATATTGTTTACAAGACTTTTAAGATATTTTTTCTTCATATAAAGCAAGTAGACTCTTGAAATTCACCAGATTAAACCTAAAATTAAACAGCACATTGCTATTTTTATGATTATAGTGTTGGGTGAGTATACTACAGTGTGTTTAAAAGGCCATCATATTATTTATCTTTAAATTTCAACTGTCACAAAAGCATAAGAAGTCTAGAAATGTCATTCTAAATGGTAGTAAATAGAAATACAAATGTAAAAAAAGACTTTAGTCTTTCTCCTGATTAAGTTTGGTAAAAGTGCAGGAAGCAGTGTTCCAGTAGGTGGCATTCCAGCTTCAAATACTCTTCTAGGATGAGATGTCAGCTGCTATAGGAGGATTACACCATCACAAAGAAGATGAAATCACCTTGGATATGAAACTGCTTTTAACTGTTGACTTTCAGTAGATTCACAATGAAGGATTGTACCTTCAAAACAAAAGCAGACGTTTATTAATTCTGACTATTCTCTAGCTCACATTCAGTTTATTTGACTGAGCATGAAGACAATTTGCTTTTCATCAATAATACCTTTATTGTCCCATAAATGATCCACAGACATTGTGTTTTTGACCTGTTTCTCCTGCCTCAGCTGTGAGCTTGTTAGGATAATTCAACATTAAGACCCAAACACAGAGATCAGCACCTGTGTTGGAGCTTTCTGCCAACATCACTGGCTCTGTTCAACCTCTGATAAGACATGTGATCAGCCTTTCATTTTCACATTTAAATAATGGCAGTGTCGCGTTACCATCCTCTCCACATGTTATTGAATTATTGCAGAAAATTATAGAAACACATTCTTAATGTTTTTGTTGCTACTTAAGATATATTTGAGTCCACAAATGTATTTTATATGCAACAAGATCCATCAGCCATCAGCACTAATCTGTAGCTTTAAATATTGTTTTGTTGCTGTTTGTCCCAACAGGCCTGAAATTGAAGGTTTGATGGGCAACAATATTGCATAATATTTATGAAGTTGTCAAGTTTTGCAGATTAGCTGCTTCAGACTGCTTTCTTTATTGATTAGTGTGCTTTTTTAATTTTTTAATTTTAGCTAAATTGACTAATTTAAAATGATGTGAAATTAAAAATAATTTTCAAAATAAAATACCTCAAAGTGGACAGAAATGCCATGAATTTGGATTGGTTTGTTGATTTTTATTTTGTAATGGAGCAAATTAAAATTATAGTAAATATTTATTTAAAACTAGTATAAGTCATTGATGTCCTCTTTTAATTTCCTGTTAGTTTGATTAATCATTTTGTTGCTTTTTCTTTTAACTGGAATAAAAAGGTAAGTAAAATATCTAATTAATTATTGAATAGTTTAGTCTGAAGCATCAATGACCCTTTTTAATTAGAAAACATACCTTTATTGTGTGTGCATATCCCATCACATAAATTCAAACGTGTTAGTGTTGGGTGATGCTTCCTTAGCAGCAGGATTGGACATGAAATTGTCAGACGGTCCCTGGGTGGGTGGGCGTTTCTCCTGTTGAAGGAAAAAAAACTGCATCATCCTAATCACAAACACAAGTCGCCAGCGATCAGAAAGCCGTGTGGGGTGAGTGTTGTGAATGCCAAAATATCCTTTTATCGATCTAAATGCGCACCGAGGAGATTAGTGGCGCTACTGTTGTCGCAATTATTAACTTAAATCAGCGGTGGGTGTGCAGACTGAAATGTGTGCCGCAGCCAGCGAGGAGGACGACATATCGCTAATAATTGTTGCATTGAAGAAAATAAAAATTTTGCCACCAAATACGAGGAAGAGGTGTTATAATGGTGAGAGTTGATGGTTTTGGTGCTTGCTGCTGCTGAGGGTGATGATGATGATGTTGCTGCTGGCAACGTGTCAGCTTGTTCCACCCAAAGCAGGTGCATCATCTCTGGTCACCTATTGTTCCTGCTGGACTCAGCTGCCTGATGAAGCCTTCAGTGGGCTGCAAAGAGCTGTAGTTCTGATTCATATTTATTTATTTATTTATTTGTGTGTGTGTGTGTGTGTGTGTGTGTGTGTGTGTGTGTGTGTGTGTGTGTGTGTGTGTGTGTGTGTGTGTGTGGATATGCATATATGTGCTATTCACTGCTGCTTGTCAGTCTGGACTCTTGGCTTCTCAGACACAAGGTGTTTAAAGGGAACTAGTCCTGCCGTCAAATCAAAACATGATCATGAAGCGATTTCAGCAGTTTTTATTCTAGACAATTTCAGTACCTTCCAGAATGAGCTGTTTCTGGCGCTGTCTCTTTAAAAAAAACACTTGAAGTGGGCCACACCCACACATCCCCTACTCACGCTGCTATAAGCTGAGAAGCTCTGACATCCAAGAGGAAGTTTGAGTAGAGCAGCTGTTTCCTGCTCCTCCAGCCCCTTTAACATATGTTTTGTTTTTAAATAAAATCAAACCACTTCATAATGCATTCCCGACCCCTGCTGACATTTGCATCCAGATATAAAGATGTGTTCTTAAAATGCCAGATTAATTTGGACCTCTGACATTTCAGCAGGTCAGAAGGTGTCCGATCATTAAGAGAGCTTTGAAAATGAGATCTCGTGTTGGCAATTGCCTCGTTAGTGAGGACAATGATCTCATCTGATGAGAATAAATGACAGTGATGATGATGATTAGAGTTGATCGTTAATGAGGAGTTCCATCCTGTTTCCAGGCTCCTGTTTCTATAAATAGAGGAATTTTTTATGCTTTTAGCAAAGTTTTATTTGGCACTTGTAGGTTTGGCAGGTTGAGTTTACTTCCAATAATCTATTTTCAATTTAATGTTTGATTTGGGGAAATGTTTAAAACATTTGAATGTAGCTTCTTGCTCATCTCGATTAGCTTGTTTAAGCACATCGTTGACAGGTTTAGGTACAACAAGCTCTAATAAATGCATTAGAGCTGATGGGTAGAAACCCTTTTCATCAGTTATCACCTTTGAATGTTACAAGGCATACTTTACATAATCATCTTGGCAAGAATAACAGAGGCAGACCAGGTAGGATAGGAAAGATTTGTCCACAGAATCAAGTATTCTGATAATATCCTCATGCAAACACCACAAATGCAGTTCATCTGTAAATATGAAGATCTCAGATGCTTGCTAATTAAAATGCATAGTTTTTTAACGAGGATGTGAAAAAAGTACTAGTATATGTATTTTAAATTTTTTTGTTGTTTTTTGTTCACTGGTAATGAGTCTCCGACTCATTTGTCACATTCTTCTTTGCTAAATAGTTTAAATTTCTTCCACATTGGAGAGGTTTTCAGCATGAATGTTTCAGGTCAAAGGTCAGATATTCTCCATCAGGATTGTCTGCTATAGCACAGAATTTGTGGCTCCATCGTTTACAGAGTCAGCCCTGGACCATCACACTACCACTACCATGTTTTTGTGCTGTTCTTTTGTAATAGTTTGTGCCATTTGCACAGCGCTAAACATTTAGGATCATGATTCACAGCTGAGCCATGAAAAACAACACACAGTTGTATTTCTGTAGATTTCCCCGCAAGAGGATTGTGTTTCTGCTCCATAGTCCGTTCCCCCGGATAGTACAAGCATTAATTACCTCCTAGAACATTTGCGTGTGTGCCACGATTGCATCACGCGTCAGTTGACTCACCTCCAAGCCGCGTGTCTCAGGCTGCTGTATAAATGAAATTGTCAGAAAACAATTAGGTGAAGACCCCCTCACTTGACAAAACATGGAATAAACCGAGAATGATGACACCCCTGGAAGCTGCAAACCTTCCATCTGTCGTTTAACCTGTGGTTTTATATATATACATATATAACCACAGGTTATATATACATATATAACCACAGGCGCGGTTACACCTCAGGCTCAGCTTTGTTCTTTTTTACATCTTCTTGAGGGAAGGAACGCTCCCTGCTGCTTGAGATTCCAGCTGTGATTTGTTCTGCTGTTCCACGAGGGTCCATCACAGGGATGCGCGGTGCAGGCAGTCAGACATTCATGGTTCCATCCAGATATCATCTTCAATCTTCATTTGTCAACTCATCCTGATAGATTTCTGTGGTGGCAGATGCACCTAACATTTCTATTTGAGTCGCCACACAGATCAGAAACAAGCTTGTACACAGCTGCTCACTAGATTATTTAGTTAAATATGAACGTGCTTGTTACTCACTGGAATGTCACTCACTTGTGATTCATTAAAACATGTTTTTCTTGTCATGAAACCAGTCAGCAAAACCGAATCTAAATATTTGCTGTTTCAATACGTGTTTATAATAAACTTGATTTATTCATTTAAGTCAATTATAAATAAGACTGAAAACAAAAATGTTCCTAAATGAAACAACATTGCAGATATTTATGTTAATAAGATAACAATTTCAAAACATCTATAAACTCTTTTAATATTCATGGTTTTATTGGAAGTGAAGGGAAATATTTTTAACTTTAGGATGAGATTTTAGTTGGGCTCCTTCAGAATCTCGTCATGCAGAGAAAAACTAGATCAGACAAGTTGGACGGTTATTTAACTGGTCAGGTTCACGTCTCCCAGAGCTCACATTCAACTCAACCATCACCGACACCAGATGGGTCGTAATGAGGTCTGGCTCGGCCCAGCAGTGGAAGAGAACCTACTGATTTAATCAATTTCCCTCTGGGATTAATAAAGTATTTTTGTATTTGAATTGAATTGAATTGAGCATGTGCAGACAAACATTGAGCAGGTGTTCAGTGTGTGTGTGTGTGTGTGTGTGTGTGTGTGTGTGTGTGTGTGTGTGTGTGTGTGTGTGTGTGTGTGTGTGTGTGTGTGTGTGTGTGTGTGTGTGTGTGTGTGTGTGCGTGTGCGTGTGCGTGTGCGTGTGAGAACCAGACACACCTCAGTCAGTGATTTGTGTTTGTACAAGCTGAAATTGAGATGCAGCTGTAAAACCTCCTTTTCTGAGCAGGTGGTGCACAGATTGTGGTGAAACCTCTGCCCATTCCCCCCTCATAGGCTGAGTCTGATCAAACACCAACGCTGAGAAACTCTTGTTGCATCCTAATGAATTGAAGTACATATTAGTCATCAAGATATATTTGGTCAGAAGTTATAACTCACTTTGACTTCACTAAAGTTTTTCACTGAAAAGAAAAGCCTGAATGTTGACCCTAACCCTTAAACCACTAAATGATCTGATGTTTCTAAAAACATGATGTAGCTGTGTAGGATAAATGTAAGCGGTCTGGAGCATTTGTTCCTTAAGTTGGAGTCAGAAACCCACTGTGGGTCATGAAACACCAGCATGAGGGTCTTGAGGATTACTGGAAATCAAATCAACTTTTAAAATGATCGTCAGAGGCAAATTTAACCTAAATGGTCACAAAAAAATGTTTAAAGAGTAGCTAAATGGGTTAAAATATCCACAGATGTTGACAAAGCTGGTTGTTAAATGGAATATTAAGAAATAGATCTGACTCTGATTCTTAATATTCCATTTATTAAAAGGGTTTTATTTCCATGTGTGTGAGAGATCCCATAATTAGGAAATGGCTGCGGTACTTGGTGCAAAAAAAAGAGGTAAAAATAAGAGATAAGCAAATATAGGAAGTGAGAATATAATCATGAATTAATTATAATATAATGTGGTAAAAAATTAGAGAAACGGCTTTATATACAAGACAGTGTAGGTACTGATCAGATAAAGGCACACTATTCAAAATTTTCATTTGTTTAAATCATTTTCTTGAGCCAGTTATGTACAAAAATGACCATTTACAGGGTTTATGAGATGTCAGTCAGACCCCAACCCTCTGTGGCGGAATATCCCACTTGCAACTTCAGAGTGCCGGTTCAGTCTTATTACTGTGGACCTGACATGGTGATGCTGGAGTCTGCTTCTTGCATGTTTCCTGCATGTTTTAGATCGTGAACACAGCTGATTTGTTTAATTTAGTGATGAACCACTCCTGTAGAAATTAAAGAAGGCTGAGGAGACATTTCAGCTGTTAGATTAAGGTGTTAAAGTCAAACGCACACAGTGAGGAGATTAGTTTCTCTTTTACTAACTAACACTAGGGGGGCTAAAAGCAAGCCACAACTACCTAGTTACCCTTTAACTATAGTTGATTACTTTAACCAGCCTTACTTATGGTTTTGATATTTAGTTTTTATTTAAAAAGCTGAGAAGCTTTTGAACCACTATTGAAAAGAACCTACATACATTTACGCTGGAAACTTGGGTGGTGTGGTGCAATGACTCTAAATGTTTGTTTAGCAACCAGAGATTAAAGAAGCTTTTTTCCTTAAAGAATCAACATTTCCCCTCCGTTGTCTAGCAGAAAGTGCTGGACGATTAGGTCCAGAGGTTTGTAAGGGTTAGGGTTAGTATTTTTCAATGACACATTCATATTTATCTGAAGTAGATAAGTTACTGATTCACGATGCTTTTAATTCCAACTGGTTTTTGCAACAAATTGACAGCATTTTTGCACTCATTCGTTTCTAAATGAAATGCTAGCTTACTACTTTTTGGATCTAATATACTGAGTTTGTGTGGACCATATTGAGATTTTGAGCAGATATTTATAATCTGCAGAAGCGAAATCCG